GAGAGAGAGAGAGATGTTGAAAATAGAAGTTGATTTCAAATAATCGTCTCTCATTGATTAACCTTAGCAGTTCTCTCAATAGTTACGAATAATGGTGAATATCATAGTTTTGTCAGCAAAAACTTACAAGTTGGGTGATTTGATGTTTTACTAGTTTTGACTCTTGAATAACAGAACTTTTGCTGTTGATAATTTGCTTCAACTGGTAAAAGTATTTGTACAAGTCTGTGTCAATAGCCATAATTTACACTTGACAGTGTTGATAATTTACTTCTGCAACTCCATGTTCCATCTCTTTTTTTACTATTTCCCTTTTCTTTAATTTTTCTGGCAGCGTGATCGAGAGGACATGGTTGAATTTGTTAAGAACACTCCATCTGAGTTCAAGGAGTATTACATTCAAATGCAGGCTGCCAAACGAAGCCAAGCACCTCTTCCTTCACAAGTAAAAGTCCTCACCCTTCTCTGTTATGTTTGACTACTAATGCAGTAGGCAACTGTTGTTTAATAGAGGTCATCAAATCATCAATCTATAACTCTTATGTTGGTGGCTTGGTGCAGATGAATGATGATAATATTATTCTCGACAAAACAGTGGCTGATCAAGTTTCCATATGGAAAAGCAGTAGAGGTCTCACTGATGAATCTGTGGCTGGTCATACATGCTCAGGAAATACATGCTCTTATTCCCAAATTGGAGATGTATATCTCTGTGAGAAGACTGGGCGTGTTCATGGTAAGTAGCAATATATGAACTTTACCTTCTTCCTTTTTCTTTTGTTGTGGTACTATTTTGTTGGTTTTCTAAAACTTTTGACAGGCGTATCTTTGCTCTTTACTGAAAGGGGGCCTTGTTTTGTATTATTTTAGTGTGTGATGACACATGTCGGGAGACGCTTGTGGATTCATTCGGTGGATTTCTTGTGTGTGCTATATCTGGACACTGTTCTGAAAGATGGTTTTCTTCAGAGGAGGAAATTGATAATGTAAGGAATTCATTGCTACATTTACTTTTCCAGGTCGAATATTGAGTGACATTTCTCTGAACTGCAGATCCATGATATTCAATTGTCTAAGTTAATTGAAACCTTTTATTGATAAATAAGTATAAACTGAGGGAAATTTACAGAAATAAATCTGTTTTATTTTTTAAATTTAAAAATAAAACAGGATTTTTCTGTAGATTTTTCTTTAACTGATGGTGAAAGATTAGTTCATACCCAAAACAAAATGACTATCAAAGACTACTTTCATTCACAATTAAATTTCATGATGTGTGCCTGAGCATCTGTGTGTGTGTTTTCTGGGATAAATGAGTTGCTTCGTTGAGTTTTGGGCGAAAGACAGTGTGGAACATGTGGTTAAATTTCACAGTCCCAGAAACCTTGGTGGGCTAGTACCTCAGATTAGCGTGTGCCTTGTTCTTTCTCTTCTTTTTGGTGGGTTGAGAATTTGTTTCGTGATTTATAACTATTTTTCTTTAGTATTCTTTATGATCGTGGTATTTCCATCTGCAGACTTGGCACCCAACCACTTGTTTCTTTAATTTGTGATTGTTGCTACGACAGGACCAACAACTTTGCGGTGTTACAGATGAAGCAGAGCCTTTCATGGGTTCCGGCCGATTTGGTAAAATTAACTCTCAACCCTTGGCCCTTAACAACAAAAACAAAACAGTGAACAACTACCTTTAGAATGCTCATATTAAACAGTCATGTGTGCAGGTTCAGTTCTCTCTCTCTCTCTCATTTTGATGATTTCTGATTTTTTAATATGTTGGCAGCACGCGCATATCTGTTGGGTTATAACTGTGAGGATGAGGAGGAGCTGGAGCGCGCATTGAGGTTTTGCTGATCTTTCTTGGTTCCAAATGCCAGTTGGTGGATTTTGCTGGCTTACGAGGGAATTCTATTATTTCCATATCAAAGTTTGTGGACTGAAATTAATTATTGATGTGTTTCTGGCTGTATGGCATATCTTATCATTTTCTCTCTCATTACAACCGATGTAGCGGTCTACACGGTTCGATGTATTTAAGTATTTGGCGAAATATTATGTATTAATGTTAATTTCAATCTGGCTCAAATAATGTTTTGCAAATCATGTGGTAGCTGTAGGCAGCACTTGTAACAGGTATCGTTCTTTTTGTGGAACAGACGTTTAAAGCAAGAAACACAAGGTTCTTTTGGTCAGTATTCAAAAGCAATATAACCATCAAAGTATTTTTCACTCCGACAAGGAAAAGGTGGGTAATGAATCATTTAAAAATTTGAGTCTAATAGATTCAATTTTTGTCTCTTTCTCGAATAGAGCTGTATGGAACACAAAATATGCCTGTATGGTTGTTTTTTTCTACCGATTTTTTTCGTTATTCTTTTTTTTATCTATTCCCAAATATTCATATTAATGTAGAAAATTTTGAAAATTTGAGAGAACAATAAAATTAGCAAGAAACAAGCTAAACACAAGTATAATTCAAAGAAGCTTAGGGTTTTTTCTCCATATCTTAAGTTAGAGTTTAAGCTTTTCTCTTGATCAATTTTTAAAAATTGTGTAATTGACTATCTTATTGTCTCACACACTTTATATGTATTATAATTCGATGCTCAAGGACACTACATATCGGCATAATGTTTAAAATGACTGGCATATTTTAACATCAACTAAAATTGCGTAATAACAAATTTACCCATATAAATGGTATTTGTGAATAGTAGTTGTGAATAATATCAAGAAATAAATAAAAAAACTTATAAAAACCCTAAACCTTAGAAATTAAAAATCTTTAGAATTAAACTTTAAAATTAAAATCAAAATATATATCTTTTAAAATTGAATAGAAATTAAAAACAAGCATAATTTTTTCCTCCATTATGTCTTTGTTGGAAAAAACTCGTCGTTGAGTTTTGAAGTGCGTTAAGATGAATTCAGCATAAAAAACAATTTCAACTTTCCTTTTTGTTGTTTGCTGACTGTTGCAGTGTTAGTCAATGGTTCAGATTGAATTTGGATCAATCTGATAGTCACGATTTTATTTTATATTTGAATTTTTATTTTTTTTTACAAGTCTAAATCATTTGGAATTTTAAGCGTACATTCTACTCATCAATGTGTACTTAATAAAAATAAATAATAATAATGATAATTCATAAAATATAAATTGAAAAAAATAACCTTGAAAAGTTTCTTGGGTAATTTGGTCAATTTATTTTTTGTAAATTATTTTTTAATATTTTGATTAGATTCTACTATTTTTTAATAATGGACTCTCAAAATTTTAAGTGATCTGGTTTTTTATAAAAAAAATGAAAATTTAAATAAAAAATGAAGTCGTGACCATTGGATTAGGTCCAAATTTAATATGGGTCGTTGGTTTACACTGTAGCTGTCAGCCCATGGGCTGATAGGATCTTTTCATATATATATATATATATATATATATAAGAAAAATATAGGGTGCGCAACCTAGCTTAGATAAGCTAAATGCGCCAACGGTCCAAATTGAATCTGGGTCGATTTGACGATCATGGATGTCCGGTAGTGTTTGAATTTTAATTTTTTTCTACATATTCAAATCACTTGAAATTTTAGACGTGCGTTAAAAAAAAAAGGTGAATATTCAAAAAATATTTAAAAAATATTTTACATGAAAAATATTGACCAAAATTGCCGGTATTTTGGTCAATTATTTTTTTAAGGTAATTTTTTTTGTATACTTTCATTTGGTGCGCCTTGATGAGAAAAACTTACGCCTAAAATTTTAAGTGATTTGGATTTATATAAAAACAATTAAAATTCAAACACTATCGGACATCCGTGATCGTCAGATCGGCCCAAATTCAATCTGGGTCATTGACGCATTTAGCAATCTGGGCCATTCGCGTATGGGCGTATAGCATTGACTCACGATACATATATATATATATATATATATATAGGAAAAGTTTCTATAGAGCCGAGGCTCTAAACAATCAAATTTGAGCCTACCTCAAAAAGTTCACTAGAAGAGGTTGTTTTGATGCCCAAATATCTTCAAATTGCTCATCTCGACATCAAGATGCGCGAACATGAAAAAAAAATGGATTTCAGGTTTTGGAAATAGTGTATTTTGTGACGCATTTTTGGACCATCAATTTATTTTCAAGTTTTCATAGATCTGTCGATCTACACTATTTTTGAAGCTTTGAACTTTATAAATAACTATGAAAATATATTTTAAGGCTATCACAATGATTTCCAGTGGTGAAACTATATTTCTTGACATTATTTGAAGGTAGGCTCTAATTTGATTGTTTCTAGCCTAGGCTGTGTACAAACCGCACCCTATATTATATATATATATATATATATATATATACAAGACCACAAATTGCCGATTGTGAATCGACTATACTTTCACTGCGCTACTCTGATTCCAATGCCCTAAATTCTTAAATGCTCCACCTCTTCAATATCAATAAAATCTTTAGAGGCCATGATTTGGATCAGTCCTCCTGTGGCCTTAGCCTTCTCTCTATATTCTTCACCCTCTTCCAAAATCTCTTTATCATCATCTTGATCTTTTTCATAGATCGGATCTCCTAAAATATCTTGTCGTCCATCTGAGTATATATCGAAGATTAGTGGTGAATCCCAATTTCCAACTTGCAGATTTTCAATGCAATCTGTGTCAAAATAAAAAAGCTTATCCTCCAAATCGTAAACCCTAAAGTGATGTTCCCCACATCTAGGTCTTTTATCACTATCATCATCACTTGACTCCACAAACAAAGCGCAAAAGTGAAAAGACTTGTACTCGAGATCCTCTTGGGTTGAAAGACCATCATCTTGTCCATTATTGAGACTTGCGAATTGCTACGCTAGCTGCAATACTTTCCTTTCAAGTTCCTCAATTATGTCATCTATTGGATCACATAGTGGATCTATGAAAATCCCCTTCTACAGCCCAGGCTCGTTGCCATACGTTCATCGAAATCACAAACCCTAAGCAAATAATTAATAAAAATTGCTGAAATTAACAAGATCTAAGTTTTTTTTGGCAAAACTTTGGCCAAAATCAACAAACCCTATACCCTACTATAACTTTGTAGACACCCCATTTTAAATTTGGTAAATTTTATGGTTTTTTTAACCCTTAGGACCACATTATCCTAGTAGACACAATTTAATTACCCTAAACTACCCAAATCCTACACCTATTTGAAGTAGAGCCCAAGAGCTTTCCAACTGTCTAAGAATCGCCTGAATCGGACATACGGATAAAAAAATTTAACAAATGATAATTTAGTCCTTGTGAGACCCAACTGTCAAGCCACGGGCTGGGCTGTAATGGCCCAACATACCCAGACGTGGGCTGATGATGCAGTAAAGGCATCTGATGATGCAATAAACACATTTTTTTTAATTAGATAAGGCTAAAAACTTAAAGATAAATCCAAAAAATTTCTAAAAAAACTAGAAAAAAATTAGGAAAAATCACCAATTGAATCTTATAAATACCCCATCTCCCTAACCCAAAAGGAGAGAAAAAAAGAGACAAAAAAAAAAACTTAGAAATTCTCGAAATTAGGAAAATTACCCAAAAATACCAAAAATAAGAAAAACCCTTAGAAAATCCCTAAAAATTTAGAAAAAATCCTCAAAAAACCAAAAAATTAGAGAAATTCTCAAAATTCATATTCAACTTCTAGAGATCACAAAACCCTTACCCCGAGAAAGCTTGACAGCTTTAGAAAAATCTCTAAATTGAAAACCCTAGAGAAGATAGAAACCTTTGCCTCTTGAAGTCCTAACCCCCAAGACCGAGAAAACTTAGATCTAAGGCAAAAAAACCCTAGATCAAAACTAGAATTAGGGAACAATAACCCGAGATCTAACTCTTTACATCAGAGATCTGCTGGTCAACATCCGAATCAGAGAGGCAAAGATAACCGATTTTGATACGGGGGGGCCCTCGAAGGCTCGTTAAACCCGGACCATCCGGCCCGGTTTGGTATTATTTTTTCATCTCTCTTTCTTCTTCTTTTTACTGTTTTGCTTCTTTTATTTATTTTTGATATGTTAACTTGTCTTAAAAATCGTATTTTAATGCTCTGGATCATGCTTGCTCTGCTACAGATCTGAGAGTCAATCTACTCGTTTTCAGGCAAATTTGGCCTCAGATCTGAATTCGATTTGTCACACTTTCTCTACTACTTTATTTACATCTTTTTAATTAGTTTAAGGTGTTAAAAATTTGAGAGATCTTCATCGGAAGATCTGTCAGATTTTCATCGTAAACAGTTTGGCGCCCACCGTGGGGCTATTTCGAGCTTGATCCAAGCTTCAAAATGCGATTTTTATTCACTGTTTTCGGTCACAAAAGGTCCTAAAAGTTTGCTGTGACCAGAATGCAGGGTTTCGGTGCTCCGAAACCTTGCCTTTTTTGGGCCACACTCTCAATGTCTCCCAAATTCAAAATGTCTCATAAACTTCTGGAACTTTATGGATATGTTCTAGGGACTCTTTTGTAAATATACAAAAAAATTCAGATCGAAATAAAATTTTTAAAAATACAAAAAGCATATTTTTCAGTTCAATCTAGGCTCTTCTATTTTACTTTATTTTAATTTATTTCATCATAAATATTTTTACTTCTTGCTTCTTTCAAGTTTAAAGTAGTCTTATTACATCAATATTAACAAGATAAAAAAATAAAAAAATAGTTTTTTGGGCAACACCAGCTGTGTCGCCCACCCTACAAGGGTGACCCACTAGTGCCGCCTAGGCGACACTACCCGTGTCGCCCAATTGAAAGTGTTCTAGAACATTTTGGGAGCCCACAGGACCATTCCAGGGACTTTTGGCTCCCTGTTGACCAATTTTTGACCAAAAATAAAAATTTTTAAAAATATAAAAAAAAATATTTTACTTCAGATATATATGTTATGTTTCTGCCCTTTTGATTTTATTTTAGTTTATTAATTTTGACTGAACTCATATTTTCCCACATTCACCATAATTATTTTAACTGTGTTTCATCAAAATTAAATATATATATATATATATATATATATAAATACATTAGGGTTGCTTACCCCTCCAAACCTAGACTCATTCTT